ACAGTTTATTTGATTTATTATTTTGTACATTTGTTATCCGTATTTATCAACAGAAAATTCGAAATTTATGTATTCAGTAATACGATTGAATATTGCGCCAAAATAATTCAATTATATATACCCTCTTGTTGACATGTCTATTAAGTGGTTCACGTCCAAAACAAGTTGTTTATTATATATATATATATATATATATATCATTTATCATTTAATAATTAATATATAAATATAATGTTATTATAAATATGTTCTTTCGACAATTAGTATCCCCTCGTTATACAGTCTAACACGAGAAATGTTTGATGCATCAAATCGATATATCTTGGTAACTTTCATGAGAGCTCCATCAAAGTTACGATCCGGTAAGAGGAAAATCATGCCCGCAGCCTATATTCAGAAAGTACGTCTATCCGCGTACATTGTTATGCATCGAGGTCGATGTTGAAATCTACCGATAAGCTCCTCTGTCACCCTTGTGTGTTCACTCTGTGTGTTCTCATTATATCTCGATTATACCCTATCTTTTTTCTCGGCGAATGCATACATAGCACATCGACAAAATTTTCGTTAACGATATTCTTTCAATAGACAGAATAATTTTAATTCCTTATGATGTAACAAACATATTTTAATATTTTTATATAAAATTCATTTTTACGCAAAAATGAAAATAATTACAACCTCCAATAGCTTTGATCTTGACAAACGTTAGAGACATGATCCTGAATAACATTCAAGAGGTTTTAGCCGTCGGTCGAACATTTATTTGCGTAATGCTAATACCGGTGGTATTGTAACTTTCGAGCCTTATGACTCGAAAAGTACTCAATAAAATATAACTTTATTATGATGTTTTGAAAAGCTCTCGATATCAGCTATTATAGTATATATAATATTTTTCGCAATACATTTATTTAGCATACTTTTTTTAGCATATTTTTAATAGGATGCCTGAGCATCAAATTATTAAAATTGCTTGTCAATTTAATTCGTGATATTACTGCAGTAGTTTCATTGCGTTTATAATTCCGGAGAACCAATTCGTTGCGCAATTCGAATGACTATAAATATGGTATATATATATAAGTACATTTTTATACAGTATACATAGTAATTCAGATTGAATTATTTATAAGCATTAAAGATCTAGCTTTGACCGTTACGGCCATTACTTCTATTTCTTATTGTTGAATTTTTAACAAAAATCAAAAATTTTTATCGCATACTTTAAACAAAACTTTATAACACAATCAAAGCTTCATGTAATTAATAATAATCACTGCACTTATTATACTTACTTAGGTCAAATGTACACAAATGTTCTGCGAAATCAGATGCGAATTAGATAAAATAAAAGACCGAATAAAGGATGTACTGATGTATATCGTCCTGCTTCTCTCCAAACACGTTGAATACGATTCTCGGTATATCATACCGCGTTTATAAAGAGGCTCATAACACTGATATATTTAAAGCGACACTTAAGATTCGATCATTAGTGGAAGGAGAAATAGCTGCAGGTCTTAATTCACGAGGCAGTATTTTGTTGCAAGTACATGTTTTGTGCGTCCATCAACCGGAACCTTTCCCCGATTTCTAATTCTCTCTCTTAATTTTTACAAATGTCTGGCTATTTGTAATGTCGATACATAATAGTATCACATTTATCTTAGATAACAATATCATAACATACAGTAAAATATAAAAATAATAAAAGGCAAAGTGCGTTTAACCCACACATTTTGAATCTTTTTGTGCAAGATTTCTATTCGAATTCGTGAAAAGACCAAGCGTGTGATTTAAATACTCTTTGCCTTTTGTTTTTGTTTATAAAGCTTACCATTACTTCTTTCTTTTTTTCCAATAAAATATACAATTCTATAGAAAGATCATTATATATATATATTTCTAAATATAATAATGGAATTTTATTTTACTGTTTCTGAAGAAAACAAATTTTTTTTTTTTTTATTCTCAAATTATCATAATTTCATAAGCAATTCTTCAAGCAATTCTTGTTAAGATCTCAATACAGTATGATCAAAACATTAATCATTATTAGGAAGTAAGAATTAATGTATAACAGAATATTAGTAGATTTAAAATATTGGATTTAAAACATTTACACTATTACATAATTTTTCTACAATGATAATATTTCACATTTTCAAAGATTTTAAAAAATTTTAATTTGTTACATTTTTATATTTATATTTTTATATTTCAACAATTATTTGAATAATTGCAGTTATTTTTCATATTGCTAGCTATGTTATATGTTTTTATGATTATATTTTATATATTTATGTGTACCTATTTTGTTGATATATTATAAAACGGATGTGATTGTTTGGTAGAGCAGTTTCCGTTTATCTAAGAAGAGAGATCTTAAAGCACCTTTCGCTTTCAAGCATAATTAAACGAAGAACTTTCACAGCTAGAAGCATTATCTGGAGATATTTAAGACATGAAATCTTCACTTCTTATTTTATTATACTATATCATTAATGCAGATCAATCATTATCATTCAAATAAATTGAAGAGGATTCCAATGCATCTTTTTTAATAAAAAAATAAACAAAAAAAGCACAAAAAAGCATAAAAATTTTAAAACGTAGTATTAAATAAAAATCAAATTACGAATTTATGTTAAATTTGGGAAAATATTTTCTCGAAAATATTAAAAATAGAATTGATTCACATCAGTTTTATCAACTATCTAAACCAGCACTAGCCATTAACTTGTTGTAAATGACGGGGCTCCATGGTTCGTGTGAACTCGTTTAGATATACGCTGTAAAAGAATTGAAAAGGACAGGCTGTCCAATAACAATAACAGGATGAAACGTCGAAACAATTGGTGAAACAAGTCAGATGTGGTTGCAATTGACAGCACAAAGGATACGTTTGCAGACTCGAGAAAAGAGGCGATGAACAAGGAGAAATTCTCTTTCCTCTTTTCATGATACCGATTGTCGCCGTGTTTCTTCCGCACTTCGATTTGCCCAACGCGGAGGGCGCTTTCTTGAAAGCTCTTTCTCCATTGTCCTTTATCGCATATCCTTTCGTTTTCGTTATCGCAACAACATCTGCCTTGACATCTATAGAACAAAAATTCCGTATTTTTCTTATGTACCTTTATTATACATACATTATTTATTCGTCTCACGATTTAATAAATAAAATTAGAAGTTAAGGTACACCTGAGCCGAATAAGGCCCAGCACTAAATAAAGTCCATTTTTTATTTATCTAAAACCTGCAATATATGCTTATAAAAGATATGCCATAAGAAGTAGATAAAAAGGAATTAAAGAATTGGAATTGGTAGCAACATGTTTGTTTAATTCAACAAAAACTTATGTGTATATATGCGGATTTTTACAATCCGCATTATTTATCCGGATTTTTACAATCGCTGCAAAATTTACCAGTGTTTCATAATTTATTATTGTATAATTCATTATAATATTATTCAACTTCCTAACTATAGGAAACCAATAAAACAATGTTTTGAAATAAGTGTAAGTATTTTTTTAAAACAATGTACTTATTAAATAAAGCCCACTTATGTGATTATTATTATAGCTATTATTATTTGTTTAGTATGTAGAGTTTACGCCAGAGAATAACAATTTTGAATGCTGTTATCTTTTAAGAAGATAAAATTGCATTCAAATTGCTAAAAATTTCCAAAGATTAAAGAATTAATTACAAACAAAATTAAAGATAATTGTAATATTTGAAAGTAGACTAAGGAATTTCCTTTCTATGATTAATAATCATTTTAATAATCATAATTTCTTGAAAACTATGGTAGATGCGGAAAAATGTTGTGTGATTCGGAAGGGAATATAAGATGATTTGATACCTTTGATTCGATTTGATCTTGGGTGGCGTCAAAGATCGGGTCAAAGTCACATCGATTTTTTTTTAATACCCTATTTTTGATGGAAGAATCTAATAGCTTAAGAACTTTTCAAAACACTGTAATAAAGTTATTTTTCATTACGTACTTTTTGAGTTATAAAACTCGAAAGTTACAGTATCGCCGACATTAGCATTACAAAGTAATGCTAATGTCCGACCGACAGTTAAAATCTCTTGAATATTGTTCGCGATCATGTCCTGGATAACATTTGTCAAGATCAAGGCCATTGAAGATTATTCCTCTTATTTTCATTTTTGCACTAAAAATTTATTTTTACGCAAAATATGAAGTAATTTAGAAATTTACTTTAATCTCATATCAAAAGCTTCAAAAATGGTGAAAACGGTACAAGTATTCGTTTTTCTATTTTTCATGAAATTTTTACTGCGAATACGTATTTTATCCTTTTTATGTTAAATATCTCACTGCGATAAACATAATTTTACGCTTAAAGTGAAAAACATTTTTCTTTCATTTTTTTATTTGTTTTATTTTCAATACTATTGAAGAAAAGAAATGCAGGTTTTATATACATACACGTGTTATATAGACAGTCTCAATCCTATGAAATACAGAGAGCTTTTTGATTCATCTATTTTGCACTCTTATGTCCGTTACTTTAAATTTCTAAAATTTGACAACAGATTTGTAATCAGAATTCACGACACACTTGAAAACAAACTTTAAAGTGAATTCAACGACACTGTCTTTTATTTTATTTCCTTTTATTCTGCTTTATGTCCGCCATATTAGATCCGTCATCTTGAATTTTGCAATTGTTTATTATTATGGCTTTGGATAGCTTATGCCTGAAGTTACATTTATGTGCAAGGTTTTCCTGCGTCAAATACAATTTTGGAACGGATGGCCGACTTGACAAAGAATGCCCCATATATATAATTTCATTTTTGCCATATTTTTCTTCTCACAATTAATCTCATTTTTTCTTTAATGATAATTTTCTTAGAAAAATTTATCAGAATTAAAAGATAAAGTGTAAAATAGAGATTCTCAAAACACAACTATTTCTCAAAGTATATCTATCTTTAATTAAAGAATGAATAAAATTCTTTCTCTGAATATCGTCTTGCTCATCATTAATTATTTCATTATCGATCGCTATTATTGGGATAATTATCTCATACGCATTTCCAAGCATATTCACATCTGCGACTCCATCTGTTCTCTTACCTAATATACTCCATAATCAATAATTTTCGCAAAACTGAAATCGCAGTGTCTATAACTGTATTATTATCGAGTTCTTCTTTAATTGCAGCAACAGGAATCACAGTAGAGTTTGCAATTGCAAGTGCATTTCTTCGTTTAATTGTAAGGATATCCGTAGCAATGAAAGTATATTCGTAGAATAATCTATAATTATGTCAGCAAATATGTTTAATTGCATCAACATTCCCATCAAATTTCGCAACGAAAATCGTAGCAAAATCTGTAACTGTATCAGTACGTCCTTTCTCTCTTTTAATCGCGACAGCATCCGCAATAACTTTCGAAACAGAGATCGCAGCAAAATCCGCAACTTTATCAGCAGAAACTTTTTTCTTTTAATTGCAGTATCCACAGCAACTTCTAATAACGGAAACCTGCAGATCAGTAAGGTCTACAACTGCATTTACAATAGTTGTTCTCATTGCGATTGTATCAGTGACATCTGTAACAATTATTGTTTTGGTATTCCCAATGATAACTGCAGCAGCTCCTCTTGTTACAATTAATAATTACGTATTGATCCATAAACTGTGTTTGCAATCATATCTTTTATTCTTGGACAAAATGTATGCCTAAATTTTTAACATACATAACAGTAACTCTGTTGAAACCCTAGACTTTGTATGCCTAAATTTTTAACATATATAACAGTAGCTCTGTTGAAGCCCTAGACTTTGTATGCCTAAATTTTTAACATACGTAACAGTAGCTCTGTTGAAGCCCTAGACCAGTGAATCGTTCATTTTAGAAAAGCTTATTCCAAAAGTAGGCTTTTACCATCTATTTTAAATATATTTTGCAGAAAGGCTTTATATTTAAGCACTGAGATAGCATTATACTGTTTCATTTAAGAAAGAGCTTCATTCATTTAAAAGAAAGCTTTATTTTTTTAAATTGAGCAAAATATTTTCTCATATTTTCCAAAACATAAAGATTTTATAATAGCATCTTGTCTAAAGCGATTGAATCAATTACTGACTAAATCCGCGGCCTCCTTTTTAACGAGCTTCTCACAGCGGCATGTTAAACTACCAGAAGGAACACGAAGTAAACTATCATCGTCCCAACAACCGCTTTGAAGTTCCTTCGACGTCAGCTGTCGAGAGAAATACGACTGTTTCTCATCCAAGTCTCCGCGAGATATATAAAATGCTTCGCGTATACTTTCGACTTGCGCGATTTCCGTTATGAGGCATTTGCCAAGATAACTGATCCGAATGTAGAGCGAAATTGTGGCGGCGGTGTTCCGGAAGTTCTCGTCCAACAAAGTGTACGTTCCCATCATAGACCTAAAATAATGTACACATCGTGTTATTAAATCTCTAGGATTACACAGGACGTCCCTCACTAGCGTATTTTCCTTGAAAGAAAATGGTACTTCCTTCCAAGGAAGTAATTTTTTACGGATTTCCTAGCCAATCGCTCAGACTTTTTTTTTTTTTTATTTTTTTTTTTTAGAATACCTGACACTCTAACATAATGCATGTGTAATCATATTATTTGTAAAAATAATATTGCATATATAAACGCTAACATAAAAAATATAACAAATGAAATAGTAATATATTTTAATGAGAGCAATACATTTATAACATTAACTCTTTCTTTATAATCAATTTCTAATATCCCAAAGCAATCGCGATCAGACAGTAAGATCGAAAAATGCTTTCGAAGTAAAAAGTTCCCTCCCATATCAACAATCAGTGGTTTCTCGATTTTCGGTGTTATCACCTCGAAATAATCTGTTGTTTATAGAAGTCCGACAAATGTTCCTTCAATTCGTTCCGCTCGCGAATCTGTTTGGCGATGCTGTTCAGCAGATTATCAACCGATATAGCGACGAAGCCGATTTTCTGGCGCGAGACCATTTCAAAATGTTCGCACACTTGTTTCCGAACGTATAACTGGACATCAATGCCGTTCGCTTTTTTCTCAAAGAAATCCATTGGCACAGAAAAGACAACGGAACTGCCGCCATAAAATTTTTCATTCTCATAATTGGATCCTTGATAAGGACGAGAATCGCGTCGGTTTGGCGACAGCGATATCCAATCGTCATCCAGCATACGAAACAAGACGATTGTCTTCTTCAGGATAACTTTGTCAAATGCCGTAGTCCAAGGAACAAACAACTGTTGTCACAATCACGAATAATTAGGCTCGAATAATTTATTAGAAATTGTTGCTAATAATAATTACTTTAGACATAAATATATTTCATACTGAAACAAAAATATAGAAATGAATTTAGGTCTTAAATTAAGTCTTGAAGATTAACCGGAGTCTGTTGCATATCCCAGAATTTTTGTTAACATTTTTAACAGTATATCTATGGATGTATATATAATATAATATAAATTATATATATACAAATATCTAAATTATATACAAAAATTTGCTTACGTTTTGCACACCAATCTCTAACATCATTAAATGCAAGTTGTGCGAAAGAATGAACGATGACATTGTTCAGGAGTTTATATTAATATATATCGCAATGTTATTCGACTTGTCAATGATATAAATTTTATGATGGTTTTTGTTGATAATGTATCAGTTGATACTGATTATAATTCATTTTTCGGCATGTGTCATATTTTCTACGATTACAGTATGTAATTTATAGGTTCGGATGCTACACGCATCCGAAAACTAAAAGAAATTGGCGCTTGTTCCATATCTCGAATGTACATCGATATATATCGCTTGAAATCGAAAATTTAATTTACCATTTCAAAACTTATCTACTCATATAAGAGGATAAAAACATGAAATATATAAATAACTTGACTAATATCAAAAATACATCACAAATTAAATTTTGTTAAACAATAGAGAACAATTTTGTATCTCAGAGATATTTTTTTATAGAAAAAATCAATTTTATAATTTAAAGAAAAAATTTTATAATTTACTATAAAATTAAATTTCAAACTTTAACAATATTAAATTAATTTAATTTATAATATTTATTGCTATTAAATTTATTTAAAATTATTTGAAAAATATAATCATTTATATTTGAATCTTAATTTTTTTAATTATTCCAAAATTTGTTGATGTAATATTTGTACATATATTTGTTATTTTTTTAAGAGAAAAATCAAATTCATATTAATCACAGAATTAACTATTAAGCGTTAATGCGATAGTGGCATATAAAACATATTATATTACGCTCAAGAAAGTTGTTCAAAAGTTACTTGCTGTTTCCTTGCAAACTCCCATGTAGCAAGAAATTGGATTTAACGAAAGAAAGGCCAATCCCGTTGAGATTCATTAAACCGACGTTTCACTACGAAACTTACATCATTAGTAACTCGCAAAAGAATGGAAACAGACTTATACATTCATAGTTGCCAAATCAGCCAAACTGTAATCAATGTCGCAATATTGTAGACCAAAATGCCAGATTGTCCTGCCACAGAATTGTTAAATTTCTTCCTTCTTAGACAGATAAAGGAAAAGTTTTTGTAAAGAATAGTTTTTGTAAGTTTATGGACTTTATCAAAAGATATTCTCATATTCTATATTACTTGCTTTTTAGTGCAACATTCTATACCCGATATTATATAAAAATGTCTCTCATATCATTTTATGTATTTTGCAAGAATGTTATTTTAAAATATTTCACATTTTATGTACAAGTATATACACATAGAAAACGATCCATTATATCCAAACTTTTTTTTCTCTTGACATAAAAAAGTTATTAGTAGTAATTTTAATAATTTTCAAAACATTAATTTAGAATAATCATGTTTCTTCCAAGAGAGATAATATAGTAGAAATAATATATTAAAGAAAATTTTTTAGTTTTAGCTGCATTCTTTAGATTATAAAAAAGTAAGTACATAGCATCGACATTTGTGGAAAAAAGAAAACAAAAATGAATTAAAAAAGTAACAAAGTTTTAGCTACTGACTTAATCTTAATTAATCCTTACTTAATGAAAGAAATTTTTTTATCAAATGGATTGTTTTTATATAAACAGATAATAAAATAACTACAATTACATAATTTTTAAAAGCTATTTTTTAGAAATTTATGAAAATTAATTACAAATATGAAATATTATTTTTGTTAAATTCTAAAAATTATGAGATAATGTCTAAAAAAAAGTTAAAGGTGATCTGTTAAATCTATACATAATGTATAATTTATTTTTTTATCTGTACATAAAATATTATTTAAAATGTATAAGATTAAAATATATAAGATTAAAGAATAAAGAACGTCAATTAACTACGTTTCTAACTAAATAGGTCAAGACATGTCATACGCGATAGACAATAAAGTTCATAATTTTTATATAGCGTAATATATAATTACTCAGCATATAATTAATCATGTTTTATGTTTTCATATTAATTGTACGTAATAGAAAGGTATTAATTATCATCTGCTATTTGATCTGGTTTCTCTGGACATCTGGTTTCTCTAGAATTATAATTTTCAGCACAAGTATAATATTGCATTTGAAATTAGCTTCGTCTTCATTTTCCGCATACCTCTTAATTTCAAACGTAATTTTGCGAGGATTCAACAAAATCAAACATCACGAGTTACACGCCTGTACGCCGTAAATAATGACTTACGCCGTAACATCGACTTCTATTGCTCTACTCTATCGATGTCTCTATAAATTCTTTATTTTTCAAAACTACGTGAGTGCTATATTTCCTGTAAACATAAATCGCGAAAGGTTTGGAAGTTATACTTTGACTATGATATGCGAGGTTAAAACTCTCGTAAAACAGGAAGATTCGGATAAAAATATCAATTCCATTTAACACAAAAATATAAAATGATATAACAGACTATAAATATGTAGTTAATTGTTAAATATTATTTACGAAATTGTTGCACTCTTGCGGTAATACTATAAAGTAAAATTCTCACCCTACTGTAAATTCATACAACATAATTTAACGCATAATAGTACCGTTGTATTACACAACGGAAACTTGCAATGTCCAAACTTCAGAAATACAACTGTACTGTACAGAAACAAGCAACTAATTAGAATCGCTAATTTCAACATTAATAATGATAGTAAGACCAAGTAATCAAAAAGTTCGTTTGTTATTTTAAATTCATATCAATGTAAATACATATAGGAAAAAAAAAGAATAAATTTTTTGATAAATCTCAAAAATCCAGAAAGACATATTTATATAAAACTACGTAAGCCAGACATTTCTTGATGAATAATCTATTGTAGAAAATAATAGCGAGAAACTCGAAAGATGTTATATGTTAAAAAAAGATATATATATATATACACATATTTTAGATGTATATAGAAGATATACAGTGTCTTAAAACCATCGGATTTCTTTTCATCGGAGAGAATTCTTTGAAATATTATAAAATAAAAATCTTATTTATATGAAAAATATAAAGAGGTTACAATAGTTTTTATTAATAGAGATTAAAGTCGTATCGAATCATAAAAACATTTCATGCGCTTAGGCATGGTATGGCAAGTGGTAAAAGTGACTAGAATCCGCTCTTAAAAGGAAATCCGATGATTTTGAAACACACCCTATGTATATATGTATGTGTATATTCTAGAAAAAGACCCTTTGTGGATATGATGTTCACAGAATGCCACCATGAAAGCGCCAAGATACACAAGGAGAGCATATAAACCTTATGCAGAGCTTAATCTTTAAAGGTGTACTGAGCCGCTATTTTTTTTTTCCTATTTTTTCTTATTGTAAAACTCGCATCAGCGGAAGTTCACAGAGGAATGGAAATGGGACATCGCACGCGACGTCATCCATGCTACCCTCTTTCATTAGGGCACCACAGTGCTGTTTGCCGCCTCCATTGTCGGGTTGTCCGCCCCACTTATCGCTCCACCTGGTATAACCGGTTTTTGCCAACGAATCACCCAACACCGTAACCCATTCTCCTTCTGCATAAAGATCGTGTATACCTAAAAAAGCCTCGTCGGGATAAGCTGCGCCCTTGATCGGTCCAGACCGATTAAATATGTTCAGTAGTATCTGAAAGAAAATCAACAGATTGCACAGCGTACGTGTAACATTAATTTTCGATGATATGGTTACGCGTCCTTATAATCGGACGTTATTCATATTTTTCGTACATCTCATAAATATATTTGATGAAAGAAAATGAAAATCATACGAATCATTTATTGTGTATTACATAATCAATAATACTTAAGTATATAATTGAATTAGCGACTCACATGCTCCTCAGCAATGGAATTGATAATGGCGAGGTGACCACCCTCCTCATTACAGAACTTCCTCGCATCGTTCCACGTGGCGGCTCTCGTGTGTAACTTATGTGCGCCGATACCTGCTGCGTAATGATAATCATCTCTCATTGGAGCACCGCGCATGGCCACGTTGCACGAACACATCATGCCATGCAACATCACGTTTTGAGTGTAGAATTGCTCGAGACGTTGCCGGCTCTGTTGCGTCATCCAGTCCGATTGTCCGGGGATCGTCGAGCTATTGACCGATGTCAAGCACGGGCAGGCGGATTCCGGATTATTGATGCTCGCGGCCGCGTCCTGTGCGCCCCCGTTCAGATTCGCGGCGACGGCGGAGGTTGTCTGTGCGGAGTCATATCCTCTCGTTGTTGGAACTGCAACCGAGACAAACGGCTTCTCGAGAGCACCAAGCAGCAACACAATGCAACCGACGAATAAGAAGTACACCATCATTCTTCCCGTGAATTCGTCGCTCTTCGAAGATTAGCTTTGCAAAGTACTCCGCTGAGATCTGCAACCGAACAATCGTCGAGTTTCCAGATAAAATAGGGATTCTCTTTTAATAAAAAGATGAGAAGATTGGAAAACTATTTGTAATTAATAATGATAGGGATTTATAATTAATAGAAATATACTGTATATGTATATATGAATTATTACTTCGAAGGAAATTACTAGTTCCAAATTACAGTTTCAAAATTAAGTCATGTATCTATATTATAAATATTTCTTCAAGCAATCTATCTAAGAAAAAATAGAGATTTATTCTTGACACAACAAAGGAAAAATGTCATAAACTGTTTGGTGATAATAAAAATGATATGAGAGAAAATAAAAAAATAAATACCTCGATAGTATGAATCTTATGATATAATACGATAAATAAAGAAATTTAATGGAGGAAATTGTATGATAAATTCTGAAGAATATTCACATATGAAAAATTATATATATGTACATGAATGCCAATACCTTGTAATAAAAAAATTATATATATACACACACACACAATATTCACAAAAATCTTAAAATAAAATTCGAAAGAAAATGAAAGATTCACTTCAAATCACTAATTTATCTGCCTACTATTCGTTCTTGAAAACTGTATCAAGAAACATATGCGTACCAAACCGAGATCAAAGAAGAACTGAGGCTTCCTTGTATTGTCAGCACGCCCCTACGTTCCTAATCAACTTCTCGACATACCAAGACCAAGACAGGCTAAATGACCCTCCCAAAAGACTGTAGTGTCCTATCATCAGCAATCGTTCAAGGACTAAGTGGCGCCACAGCAGTGGCGCCAAATGATAGCCTTCTGCTTCACATCTGTTTAAGATCAAGCTAATTCGGAAAGTTGAGAAGATTCTACATTCTTTTAGATAAAAAATATTCCTTGGCATATCCTAAATAAGAAAATTAATTAAGTGTCACGGAATGATTTGGAAAAGTCATTTAAAATAAAATCGAATTAACTATTAAACAATAAACAAAATTTTAGTCTACGTTTATTTCTCTTTTAATTCAT